AGAATAGTGCCTGGCACAAGGTAGGCACTTAATGAGTGGTTTTTATTCCTTGGTGAAATGTGGTCTGTGTAGAGGGCATGGTGGGTATTCAGCCAATCTCTAGTCCTGATCTAACATCCTCTTCCAGCTCTTGATGTCTTTCCTGAAGACCTACTTTGGCATCCTACCCAAGAAACAGACTTCTAGCTCCTTCCACCCAAGACTGCAGACATTTTTGACTTCGGGATTCAGACAGTCTATTATTATCATAATTTTTATCCAAGTTTTTTCCTTATTGCCTCTGGAATAAAAAGTTTTTGTTGCTCCTCAAATACACAAAGTAGAATAGGTCAGGATCTGCCAAAAATCGTATGTCATATTACAGGCCAATTCTCCCCCATAATTTCAAACTGTCGTTTCTGGTGCCACAAAAGCTAAGAAAGTGCTGCCTCCTGGTTCAGAACATTCAGTCTGGAAGTGAGACAATCACCAAATGCTAGCAGTAGAGAAGCAGACTTTGGGGCTGTATCAATTGGCACCCATGGACATTACTGGGGCTTTGCTTCCCACTGACCAAATGACTCTTATCCCACTTGGTTGTGACTATGGAAATACAGGCAAGGACATCTGCACTAGTCAGTGTTGTCCAAAGAGATAGAATCAATATATGGAAAAAGATTTTATTAGAAAGAGATTCCTAGTATAAAGATATTTATTATAAGGAATTGGCTCAAGCAATTGTGGAGGCTGGGAAGTCCTACAATCTGCTGTCTGAAAGCTAAAGACCCAAAAAATCCAGGGTTATGGTTTCAGTCCAAGTCCGAAGACATGAGAACCAGCAGCACTTATTGTAAAGTCTCAGAAGGAAAACAGAAGGCCAGTGTCTTAGCTCAGGCAGAGAGTGAATTCTGGCTTCCTTTACCTTTATGTTCTACTTGGGCCCTCACTGGATTAGATGGTTCAGTGTGGGAGGGCAATGTGCTTGGCTCAGTCTACCAATTCAAATGCTGATCTTACCATGAAAACCTCTCACAGACACACTCAGAGATAATGTTTAACCAAATATCCTCACATCCTGTGACATAGTCAAATTGACACATAAAATTAACTTTTACAGCATCTCTTCAGAGGGAAACCTCCGTATTATCAGAAAAGTTCATCTGTGTCCAAGTATCCTGATATAAGTAAGGGTCTTAGCTGTTTTTTATGCACTTTAGGGCTTATCCCCCCAGATCTAACTCCAGAGTTTTAACAAGAACAATAATCATTTTATTTCTAACCCAAGTACTACATATTTGTTAATGGAGGTGACAAATAGTAGTTCAGTCTGCACCCCAGAGGAACAGGTTGGGAGTGCTACCATGAATATGACAGTGATACTACACCCGCTTAGTGCAGAGACTTCACTAACGTGCCAGCATCAACGACTATGCAGACCAAGTAGAACCTGGAGGGAGGAGACTGAGGCCAGCCTCTGGAGGGCAGTGTCCTTCCATGAGTCATGAATCTATGTGACCAGTGACCTGGCTTTTCCAGGCAGGTTCCTCTACTTGTTCTAAATGTACACACACACACACACACACACCAGTCAATCTTTAGCTTTCAAAAGGGACATAGTACTGCAACTTATAACATGAAGGAAAAATGGGATTTAATTCATTTGTCAAAGTGTGTGTATATGTGGATAGATAGATAGATAGATATTACACATATACACACTCCTCTACTGATAACAGTTATCTAAATATGCACTTGCTGGTTCTTTACTCCTTCCCAAATCAACAGAGTGGGGCTTGGTTTTATGAACAGAAATAATGTCTAATTTACTCTTATCTCATTAATGATTCAAATTAATTTTAGAGCTCTATTGCTGTCAAATTCCCATTCCTTTACCATGTTGTGCTTTTTATAAAAGCAACATAGCATATCAGCATAATCTTCTGTTGACTTTCTTAGATTTGTGCAGAGACTCACATTGGTGTCTTTGTATCCAAATTACCTACTTTTTTTAGAACTATCGGCCTAACACTTCCAGTTCATTAGAGTAGTGGTTTATGGGTATTTAGTGGAGTAATATATGTATATACACAGTCTATAGATAGATAGATATAGATATCTATATATATATAAATATATCTATATCGTCTATATCTATATCTATATATACACTGTATTTTGGGAACTAACTTTTTGACCAGGACCCCAGGAGATGAGAGAGTCTCAGGTATAGTTCAGAACACCAGAGAAGGCATGCATCCGTAAAAAAATGTAGAGGTCCTGTAGCATAACCTTCTCACTAAAAACTCAGGTTTTAAGGCTAATAAGTTCAGATGGGTGGTCAGTAGCTATGTTGAAGTCTAAAGTCACCCCTGTACTAGGCTAAATATTACAAATACTTAACAGCTGGTCAGAAACTGGTAATGACAAAGAGTCTGTAAGCCACAGATGATTGGTATTAACGTATGCTGAGTATCATCTATGACCTGGATGGGTACCCTTTTGTATCTCAGAACCACCCCTCCATAATTCTCCCAGCCCTTTAAGGAGACACTCTAGAGCTGTAGCAGCAGATCTGAATCACTCACAATCACTCAGTTCCTATGATCCTAGAGAAATTTAAGTCTTAACCAGTTTTCCCTGGATGCTAAAAGGATAACTAGAGAGATTATGGATTTAACCTGGATTGCCCAAGTAAATCTCTTCAGGGCACTACTTTTTCTGTAGTTAGGCTGTCTTTTGTTCAGTCCCACCTCCCTGGTATCGAACTAAGACTTCCTATATTAGGTCCAATTCCTCCTCATTACCACCTCCCACATCATTTCACAAATTAAGAATCGAGGGCATAAAAAGTCCTAGTAGGCAGTAGGCTCATGGCACCTTTGTAACAGAACCCAGATATCAGCATACCCCAATTTATTCTTTTCAGTACCCACATTGCTCAAAGGTGATTTAATAGAACATTATTTGATTTAGGACAAAGAATAAAAACACCCTGTGATTCTCCTCTCTTTTCAATGTTCCATTTCTATTTTTGTACACTCTCCTCCTAAGAAATTTTTCTTTGGAGAAGATAAAGTTAATGCCCATGTCAAGTGCCCATTTAGAAGAATTTTGCTCCACCAGCTCTGCTGGGCTAATGAAGGGTAATTGCTGTCACCCACAGACCTGTGGCTTTAGTGCCAGCGAGTCATCAGGCTGATGCTTCCCCCAGCATGACAACTTCCTTCTCTCAAGGGTTTTCCCAGGGAATCTATAGTGGCACTTGAAAAGCAAATAATTAAGAGCAATAAATAGCAAAATCCCCTAGAGAAATATAAATTATTCATAATAATAACTGTGCAGGCTGGCTGGAGGAGGAATGTTTTTATCATGTGCAAGAATTTTCTGAATCTGCTCAAATATGTTTAAAATCTTGGTTTAAAACACTGTTAGTCCCTCAAACCAAATAGAGTGATTTTTCAATGATTTCTTAAAACACCAAAGTATCAAATGTAATCACTTGCTCTCTTTCATAGTGCTAGTGCAAAATACTTGTAACTTACTATACTACCCTGATCCTATATCACCATTGCTCATTCTTCAGGCTTGCAAACACATCTTAAGGTTGGGATGAATAGTGTGGTTCAAAGGAATGAAGTAAATGGCACAATTTGGAAATCTGGATTGTAACTCAATTATTAGTTGAATGCCCTTTAGCAAGTAACAACCTGCTGCGTTCAGTTCCATCACTGATAATTCTGAAAGGAATCAATCCTGTATCACAGGGCATTGTGAGACTCCAAGTAAATGAGGTGTATATAAGTACTTCTAACCAACAAAATACTAAACAACTAGTCAAATAAACTGTATCATTATTTCTCCTGCATTTACCCATTGTGTTCTATGAATGCCACCATGTCATTTTTGGAACTTAATATTCCTCATCTTTCAGATCTTGAGAAGTCTCCTTGACCATTCCTAGTAGTAGAAGAGTCTCTGTTTGAAGAGTTCTTATATATATAGATCTTATCCATTCCTCTTGATGATGTAGTGACTTGAATTTGGGATGCAGCCAATATGCTGCCTTGGAAGATGAGAGGACAATCTGCATGAAAGAGTATAGGTGGCTTCTCACCCACTCCTGGTTTAGACCCTACAGCTGAAACTTAGAGAACAAACTGATGGTTGTGGGGTGGGGAGATGGCTTAAATAGGTAATGGAGATTAAGGAGTGCACTTGTCATGAGGAGCACAGGGTGATGTATGGAAGTGTCGAATCACTGTACTGTATACCTAAAACTAATATTGCACTGTATGCTAACTAACTAGAATGTAATTAAAAAGTTTTAAAAAAAAAAGGGCCTTTCTTGCTGTGTTCTGGGGACAGGTTCCCTCAGGCAATGATTCAAGTCTGTGCTTAAAATGTTGTTCTTCTTTCTCTGTTATATTGTTTGAGGTTTATGTAGATTTTCTGATCTAGTTACCAGGCAAAACAAGCCCTCTTCTACTAATAATCCCTTTAACAGTAGGTACATCTTATCTTCCCCTTCACATAGGTAGGGACTGACCTCAAGCAGTCCAAGTCTCATTTTCCCCTTCAGACCTGTCCAGCTTATCTTCTTATATCTGCGCTTCACTTAAGGTTTTCTCTTTCTCTTTTTGTTCATCAGCCTTTTAAATTTTTACTTCTTCTATCACTTTTGTTCATTAGTTGGACTAAATAGGACTTCTCTATTTGAAGAACTATTTTCAGATTATTCCAGTTCCTTACTGACTTTCTAGGCAAATCTGATCCTTAGAAACAGAGAATTCCTGGAAAACACCTTTTTTATTATCTTCCTAGGTTCTGGGTCTGCAATAATTTTATTAATGCATTTATATCCATTGAAAAATTTGGCATGTTTTTATTATTATAAGGGCTTCAAAACCCTTTTATTGTTTTATTAGTGAAACCTACCACACTTCTTTGGTTCAATGCTGAGCTTAGCTCTCTGAAAACTAAGGTCAAAGATAGAGATTCTGTTATTAAGAAAGCCAGAGCCAGTGCTCACTTCAGCAGCACATATACTGAAAAACTGGAACAATACAGAGAAGATTAGCACAGCCCCTAAACAAGAATGACCTGCAAATTTGTGAAGCATTCCATATTAAAAAAAGAAAAGAGAAATCCAAAGCCAATCTGAAGTAATGTGGTAGGAAATAACTAATGATAAACTACATTAATTTGAGCTTAGCCTAGAGTCTCCCTTGTCCTCTCTTGGTCTGCAAGGTAAGTGGAATTTAGGCAACCAGTTCAGAGCAGCCTACTTAGACCTGGCAGGTGAAACTGAAATCGCAAACACCAAGGATGCTCTGTAAGATGTACAAAACTTAGATCCTTTGACATTAAAATTCCTGACTACTGATATGGCTGGAAAACACTGTCAATGAAGCAAATCTTATTCGTCTAATCAATACCTAAAAAGATCCAATCCCATCCCACCTTTTTCGTAACACCAAGCCACGCTGAAGCAGCCTATACTTTAAAATCTAAATCTGGGGCGCCTGGGTGGCTTAGTCGGTTAAGCGTCCGACTTTCGCTTAGGTCATGATCTCGCGGTGGTGGGTTCGAGCCCCGCATCGGGCTCTGTGCTGACTGCCAGCTCAGAGCCTGGAGCCTGTTTCAGTCTGTGACTCCCTCTCTCTCTGACCCTCCCCTGCTCACGCTGTCTCTCTCTCTCTCTCTCTCCTAGAAATAAATAAAAAATTAAAAAAAAAATAAAATCTAAATCCATTTGTTGTGGCCACATGAGTTAAAAGCCTACCTTACCAATTAAACAAAAATCCCTTTTCATCACCCCACCCAACTCTGCCCACAGTTGTAAAAACGGGTAGTATAACACAATATAGACACCGCAGTTGTCAAACAACACAACAAAAGATCTGGCCTGACCCATTCCAAAGTCTCAATCTCTGAGATTTTCTTCCCAAATTCCACTCCTTGTTTATTTCTCAAGATCCGCAGCCCATGCACCAGATGCTGGATCAGGGAAGGGTCACTTAAGGACACCTCTGTTCTCCATTTCTCTATAAAGTTGAGCCTGCCCCTGAGCAACAGCAATACTATTTGAAATTTGGGATGCTGTAAAATAAATAGTAATTAGTGATTATTTTCATTGTCATTATTTATAACATTTGAAATAATACTATAAATGTTATGATTGCAATAATGTGATATAACAAGAACTTAAAGATGATAGTTTTTGTAATATCTAATTTGGAAATTCTTTTATATTAGGTCAATAAGGAAGTAGATTTAATAGATTGGGGTCTGCATTAACAAAAGAGTATATGATGGAAAATTATTGCCAAAGAATTTAAACAGAATTGTGATTGCAAGGACACTTCTTCAAAGAAAGACTTTTGCAGGTTACCATATCTCCTGAGAACTACAAAACATTACTTACACAGATCCCTGGCCAAAAGAATACTCACTGATAACCTCAAGACATTCTACCAAAGCTGAGATAATCAAACACCAACATAGACAGGGATCTTCAAGAAAGTCACTCTTAAGTTCTGCATATATGGAACTCTATACAAGCATTCCATCAAAACCACAAGTGTATCTCATCAAAACCCTTACTAGGTCTGGTCCCTCAGGTAATGTCTCTAACCAGTAGTAACTCTGGCAACTCAAAACTGAACCATGTACCTGTCTGTAGTTCGTGATGCAACTTTGTGACAGCTGTTAAGAATAGGAATTTCATGTCATTCTGCAAAATGTTAAATTGTTTAATTTGACAGAGGGTCTTCTCAACAGGCAGCTGTCACTAATCTGTGGGCTCTACCTCTGGAGGACTTGAAGCAATAAGAGTAAGGAAGAAACACTTCTTAGCTGGGTGTCACATGTTCTTGAGGGGAGGCTTTCTTACTAAATAAAATAGAAATACGGGCACCTGGGTGACTCAGTCGGTTGAGCAGCCAACTCTTGGTTTCTGCTCAGGTCATGATATCATAGTTTGTGAGTTCAAGCCCCGCATCAGGCTCTGCACTGACAGAGTGGTGGCTACTTGGGATTTCTTCCTCTCTCTCTCTCTCTGCCTCTCCCTGGTTTGTTCTCTCTCTCTCAAATAAATAAATAAACATTTAAAAAATAATATAAAATAGAAATGTTTTTGTAACTGAGAAGATTGAGAAGTTAAGATATATATTGACCACAAAAAAAGGGGTGTTAGTATAAGAGGGACATAAGGAGACAGAGTTTGCAGTAAATTCTGTAGCTGTGTGCTTCCCTGGTTTAAGTGTAAGGTTGGAGTTAACCCAATGTAGTTTTTCTAACAAAAAATAACTTTTCCCAAGCCCTGTGTATCCCTTGCCTGTTTCTTTGTTATTTAACCCTACAGACCCCTAATAAGAATGCACTTTGACAGGTAAAGGAAGAAAACTTAAACATTCCTTTTGGTATCTACCTAAAAATATATACTTAATGGTATTTTCTCAGTTTAAGCTCTATGAAGTTATACAATATCTTTTCTTCAGTGAAAGAAAGTGGCAAATTCCCAATGTCTTGCAATGGGTCATTTTCCATAGGTAACAAGTCCATCCAGGAAAATAGTTACCTTTCTTCAAATAAGAACAAAAATATGAACTCAAAAATTTGGGGAGCTTGGGGAATAGATAAAAATGGAAACTATGTGTAGGGAGAAAATGTTATCATTTGATCACAACCTTCCTTTCTCTTCATTTAATATAGCTCAAATTTGCATATCAGAACACTCTCCTTTTCCAGCATAGGAGGAGAGAGTCTGTTTAAAAATAATGTCAAATTGAGACAGGCATATGATAAAACAACGGGAAAAAGAAGGAAAAAAACACTACTTCACGGCTTTCTTTACTCTAGACTATCACCCACCCATCCATCTTTCTATTTTTGAACAAATCAAGCATCTGCTTTATTGGGTCTGCACCAGCAGTAAGTTGACAACTGATGATTTTCAGGCAGTCTTCAGCCTTCAAGGCTTCATCATGGAGTGACAGTGCTTGACTGCTCATCTGTCCCTACCCCCTTCCTTACCTCTGGGTTTGAGTCTATCCTTTCCTTCTCCTCCCACAGTCAGAGCTCCCAGCTTTGGTCACCAGACTGTCAGGAGTATACAGTCCAGGGGCTTTAGGGGCTCATAGGGAGCTCAGGATTAATGTCTAAGTGATCTCCAGTCCTACTAAGTCTCTTGCAGTAGCTACAAAATGGGTTAAATAGACATTGGAAGCCTCATCTGGAAGTCTCTCTACCAGTGATAGCCTTTGAGTGCCAATAACACTTACAAAAAAAGCCCATTCACGTATTACAGACAACCATTTGCACCTACATTAGTGTGGGATCTTGCTTCTGTAAAAGAGGCCTATACATGAACCACCTAAGTAAAAAATGTGCATTAAAGTTGTTACATATTAATATTAAAATGTAATAGAATAAACTAGAAATGAGCCAGAATACTTTGAAATGCTCATTTCCCACGTGTTAACAGATATTTGATACCAGGCTAAGGCACAATAGCTTGAATGCAAGATATCTGCATTTAGAGTTCTCTCCTTTTTTTTCTTAAAAATATTCTTTAGTCTATTTTTTACTATCCTTGTTTCTCACCAGTAGACCTTCAATGGTCCTGAAAGAAATACAACTGCCCTCTACTATATAAACATTAAGCAACTTTGGGTCTGACAAGGTGTGATGCCAATTTTAATTTTAAAAATTGTTTGCCATCAATAAAAAAGAGATTAGGTCTTAAGGAAATGCACATCTCCAGACCCCAATCCCATTGTACACTATTTTGTGTGAGCCTGGATCAAACATGCAGATATGATGTTTTAGGTATCACACTGCTTTTCCCGTGGAGTTCTTAACTTCCCTAGCACCAACTCCTGGCCTCTTTGAGACTCACCTGGAATACAGCACAAGTCACACAAAGTCCTAGGATACAAGTTCTGTTCTCCCAACGTGAGTAGTGATGAATTTTTTCATCACTTTCTTTGACACTTTTTGTTATAGTTTTGGAGCCCCAGAGATCCCAGTCTCTGTCTCCAGTCATGTAAATAGTTTCATCAAGCTCTTCATAATTGCTTACCTGTATGTATTTGATGCTACTGACCACTACCACCTCCTTCTTGAATTCCTTCTGTCTTGGTGTTCCAAGGTCTTGCCCTTATATAGGCCAGGCCAGGTCTTTGCCCTCAGTTCCCTTGAGTGCAAGCAACGTGGCAATTAATGCAGGATGATTCCAGGTGCACCTGAAAAATCTCCCTGTGAGCTATCTTCTTAGATCCCTCTTCTTAGGCTCATTATCTTGGCTTAGCCAACCCTCTAGAGGAGTTTTATGCTTAGACTTAAAAGATATATAGCAGCGCAGGTGTGAAATCTCTGAAACATGCACCAAGGAGCAAAGGCTTGATATCATTGGCATAAGACTCTCCCCCGTTATGATTTCATGCTTCCCCTAAATACACACAAACTTCTTGTGAGAATCTCTGCCTGACACTTTCCCTCCTCCTCCACTGTGAGACATGGTGACTTCTCTTCAGTCTCTGCTAAACTCAAGGCAAAAGAATACTCTGTTTTGAAAGAATTCTAACCCCCAATCTATGATCCACTGTCATATTCTATAAATTTCTTTCTCACTCCAAAAACAAAAGATTAGGTAGATGAGTGAGGATATCTTGATAAGAGCAAACAAGATGATAAGGATTTGTTGCATTAAATCAACATCTTGAGCTGTCAAACAGCATATATGTTTCAGTTCTTTTTTTTTAACTTTTTTTTAATGTTTTATTTATTTCTGAAAGAGAGAGAGACAGCATGAGCAGGGGAGGGTCAGAAAGAGAGGGAGACACAGAATCTGAAACAGGCTCCAGGCTCTGAGCTAGCTGTCAGCACAGAGCCTGACACGGGGCTTGAACCCACAAACTGTTAGATCATGACCTGAGCTGAAGTCAGACACTTAACCAACTGAGCCATTCAGGTGCCCCATATATGTTTCAGTTCTTTTCCTTAATTCACCAATCCCTGCCTCCAACATTGACAGAAAGGCATGGGTAGGAATTTTCTCAAAGGAAAGTATATTTCATTCATATGTCAGTATGTCAATAACAGGACAGAAGACTTAATCCTTGGGGACT